GACAGAGACAGACCCCATCTAAAAAAAAAAAAAAAAAAAAAAAGAATGACATATGAAAAGACTGAAGATAATACCCAAAATTTTAAAGAGGGGCATTTTCTGAATGGTAAGATTTTAAGTAATTTTCATTCGTTCTTTTACTCTTTTCTGTAGTTTCTGTGATAAGCATGCATTGTTTTCATAATCAGAAAAGTTATTCGTCTAATATAATTTCATGATAAACTACACATTTGAGATATACCTACTGAAAAATGGTAAGAGCAATGAATCAATCACCTTCTATCCACCTTCCCTCTGAAATGTGAATATCGTCTCAAGAGTGGCTATATCACCTGTGGCTTTGCATTCAGATAAGCATTCATAATTGTCTCAGAAATCGATTACTGCATCTCAAACAGGTGCATCTCCCCTCAAACTTTATCCCCAAATATTAAGAGTTAAGTACCTTTAGATAACCAAGATTCTGAGTCCTATATTTTTAACCACCAGAGGGAGCTGGAATGTAGAAAACCTGGGGCAGTCAGTTTTGTTTTGTTTTAAAGTGAGTTTCACAAAGGGCCATCAATTCAGGATCTTACGTAATTTTCCTAATTATTGTGAACCAGTACTTAAAGGATAATTCTTTTTTGCCTTTTTAAAATTCCACTTTTAAAGACTGCAAACAGTAAAAAAGGTCTTGCTAAGAATCAAACTCTCAATGAACAACAGGCAAGACAGCACAGAAAAATAAAAGTATTCACACCTGCTATTGGTGAACATTTCTCTCAGAATTGTCTGCTTCAGATCTTGAAGTCACGCAGTTGTGTCACAGTGATAAAGTTTCAAGCTGTTCAATATACTTCAGCCCTCCCCAACTCGTTGAAAAGTTTCCTAACAAAGAAGAAACATTCAATGTGCCTGCATTCTATATGCATTACTATTGAAGAAATCAGGGAGGGAGGTTTGCTAGGCATTGAGAAAGATGGTTAATAAGAGATGGGCCTACAGCGCCCAAAAGGAAGTTAAGCAATATTTGACTCAGTTCAGAATTTCTCAACTGAAGGTCTGACTGAGTTTCAAGGTGATTCTTAAAGGGAATTGTAATTATAGCTTTGGGGTTTCAGTGGAGTGAAAGCAGTAATTTGTCTTACCGGCAAAATGAGTAAATCTATAGAAGTTAATGTATTTATGTATAAACAACCAAAGCACTTTGCTCTTCATTTTATATGTTCTTTTATTGACCTTTATATTTCTTTAAAATTTTTTAATTGTGATAAAATATACAAAACATAAAATTAACTGTCTTAAGCTCCCCCCCCCAGCTTTTTTTTTTGACAGAGTCTTGCTCTGTCACCAGGTTGGAGTGCAGTGCACAATCTCAGCTTACTGCAACCTCCGCCTCCCGAGTTCAAGCAATTCTCCTGCCGCAGCCTTCCAAGTAGCTGGGACTACAGACGTGCACCACCACGCCCAGCTAACTTTTTGTATTTTTAGTAGAGATGAGATTTCACTGTGTTGGCCAGGATGGACTCGATCTCTTGACCTCATGATCCACTCGCCTTGGCCTCCCAAAGTGCCGGGATTGCAGGTGTGAGCCACCACGGCCAGCCTGTCTTAAGCCCTTTTAAGTATACAGTTCAGTAGTGTTAAGTACATTCTCATTCCAGAGGGAAGGTAGGTAGAAGGTGATTGATTCATTGCTCATACCATTTTTCAGTAGGTATATCTTAAATGTAGGTAGTTTATCATGAAATTACATTAGACCAATAACTTTTCTGATTATGAAAACAATACACGCTCATCACAGAAAATACAGAAGAGGAAAAGAACAAATGAAAATTACCTAAAATCTTGCCATTCAGAAAATGCCCCTCTTTAAAATTTTGTGTAACTCTTTTCAGTCTTTTCACATGTAATTCTTAAATAAAATTTGGATCAGATTCTATTTTTAAATAACACCTTTATTCAGATGTAGTTCACACATCATACAATTCACCTAAAGTGTGTAATTCAGCGTTTTTTAGTATACTCAGTTGTATAACCCATAACCACAAATAAATCAACTTTTAGAAGATTTATTTGTGCCACCACTCCCCAAGAAAATCCCTGAACTTTATCAGCTGCTCCTCCTTCTTCACCCTGCTGCCCTTCTGCCCCACCCTACCTAGTCAACAACTAATCTATTTTCTGTCTCTATAGATTTGACTGTTTTGGACATTTCATGTAAATAAAATCATGCAATATGTGGTGTTTTCTGTCTGGCTTCTTCCGCTTAGCATAATGTTTTCAAGGTTCATCTATGTTGTAACCTGTATCAATACTTCATTCCTTTTCATGGCAGAATAATATTCTGTTGTGTGGATAAATCACATTTTATTTATCCATTCATCAGTTGATGGACATTTCGATTATTTCCCATTTTTGGCTATTGTGAATAATGCTGCTATGAACATTTGTGTACAAGTTTTTGCGTGGACATATGTTTCCATTTCTCTTGAATCTGCTGGGTCATGATAACTGGTTTATTTATTTATTTTATTTTATTTTTTTAGACGGAGTCTTGCTGTGTTGCCCAGGCTGGAGTACAGTGGCATGATCTTGGCTCACTGCAAACTCCGCCTCCCAGGTTCATGCCATTCTCCTGCTTCAACCTCCCAAGTAGCTGGGACTACAGGTGCCTGCCACCACTCCCAGCTAATTTTTTGTATTTTTAGTAGAGACGGGGTTTCACCATGTTAGCCAGGATGTTCTCAATCTCCTGACCTCGTGATCTGCCCGCCTTAGCCTCCCAAAGTGCTGGGATTACAGGCGTGAGCCACCACGCCCAGCCCATATGATAACTGTTTAATCTTTTATATAGTTTTACATCTTGATTGTTTTTCACCTAACTTTATGACCATTTTTCCATGTCATTAAATATCTAAATACATGATTTTTAAATGGTTATATTATTGTATCTAAGGAGTGTGCCATATTTTTAACCATTCTCCATTTAACCATTTGAGGTCCTTCCAATTTCTCCTTAGAAAAAAATTCTTACATATGCAGTCTCCACATCTCTCATTTCCTTAAAGTAAATTTATGGAAGTAGAATTACTAAAAGGTCATTATGTTTTATGTCACTTGTCAGATGGTGTCTGGGAAGATTGCATGAATTCTCTCTCTAAACACTTCAGTGTTCTTAGCCTGTGTATGTTCAGTGGTGATTATTTAACATCAAGTGCTATAAAACAGAGCCCATGGATTTTTGAAAAGACACAGTCCCTGCCATCAAGATGCTTATGTTCACATCTAGACCAGACAGATAAATATAGATCCAAGGGTATTATATAGACAAGATTATGTACATTATGTGGAGAGGAAAAGGTAGACTGCTTAGATAAAGTAAACGTTTGCCTGCCTAGGATGAGATTCACACAGACATAATCATTGAGCAACTTTTTACGCTTAAAAGTTTTTAAAAAGTTAACAAAACCAAAATGTAGGAACCAGTTAGTCTAAAGTCATAAATCATCTGGATCATTGAGTCTGAACCTTTCCCTTGTTCAGGAGACTCCTGAGGCAGCACAGTGTAGCCTGTTGGCTTTTGGGACCCGCAGACGTAGCTCTAGCTGCTTTTCAACCTGTGCTGTCTCATGGTTTCTTTAGATTGCTTGAGACATTAGCAAACCCTTTCTGTCTTGTTTCTTACTCTTTTATATTCAGAAGAGTACCACTTTAAAGATTATGAAATGAGCAAGTAGTTCAATTATATAGCTGACTCTGGGGAAAAATTGTCTAGCACTGTTCAGCATTGCCATATTGATGCTGACACTGGCATGATTTCATCTCCAGCATGACCACCGGATTCCACCCAAATGGATTGACTACTCTAGAAAGATCATTGATTTGTAAAATTGGAGATGGAAAAGCTATAGCAGATCCCCTGGCGAGCCTCTTAAGCAGATGTTATGTAGAGGCTCTGCAATACTGTTTGTTTATTTTTCACTAGTAGGAATTAAACTCTTGAGAGTAAACCATACCACCTTAAAGACTCCATTTTCTAGTATGTCACATACATTTGTATTACGTGACTCCTTCAGAAAACATTGCCTAGGTTACTGACAGAAACTGCTATTTTCGTATCCAGAAGCTGCGACTAGCAAAGGGAAACTTAAGAAAACTGAAACCTCTTTTTTCTTTGCAGCTGTAAAGATGTCTGACAAGAACCAGATAGCTGCCAGAGCCTCCCTTATTGAGCAACTGATGTCCAAAAGGAATTTTGAGGATCTTGGCAACCACCTTACTGAGCTAGAAACAATTTATGTGACTAAGGAACATCTCCAGGAGACAGATGTGGTGAGAGCTGTATACAGAGTCCTCAAAAACTGCCCCTCTGTGGCTTTGAAAAACAAAGCCAAGTGCTTGCTATCAAAGTGGAAAGCTGTTTATAAAGAGACTCACTCCAAAGCGAGGAACAGCCCTAAATTATTTCCTGTGAGGGGTAATGAAGAAAATTCAGGACCTTCTCATGACCCAAGTCAGGATGAGACACTGGGCATCTGCAGCTCGAATTCTCTATCTTCCCAAGATGTTGCAAAACTCAGTGAAATGATTGTGCCTGAAAATAGAGCCATTCAATTGAAACCTAAGAAAGAGCATTTTGGGGATGGTGGCCCTGAATCCACTGGTAAGAGATTGAGTGAGTTGCTGGATCCCACAACACCCATGAGAACTAAATGCATAGAGCTTCTTTACGCAGCTTTAACTAGTTCTTCCGCAGATCAACCCAAAGCTGATTTGTGGCAAAACTTTGCAAGAGAAATTGAAGAGCATCTTTTTACCCTTTATTCAAAGAATATCAAAAAATATAAAACTTGCATCAGAAGCAAAGTTGCCAATTTGAAGAACCCCAAAAATTCTCACTTACAACAAAACTTGCTCTCTGGTACCATGTCTCCACGAGAATTTGCTGAAATGACTGTCATGGAGATGGCAAACAAGGAACTGAAGCAGTTGAGAGCCTCCTACACAGAATCTTGTATCCAGGAACATTACCTTCCCCAAGTAATTGATGGCACACAGACAAATAAAATAAAATGCAGACGCTGTGAGAAATACAATTGCAAAGTCACTGTAATTGACAGAGGAACACTTTTCCTTCCCAGCTGGGTGCGGAATTCAAACCCAGATGAACAAATGATGACTTATGTAATTTGTAATGAATGTGGGGAGCAGTGGTACCACAGCAAGTGGGTGTGCTTTTAACTGTAAATGAGTGTTCTCTTAACAGATAACCTGAGTGATTGATACCTTTTATTTGTACAACCCTTCTGTGCTTTTAAAAATCTTGTACACACTACTCTCTAAAACAGAAGAAGGAGGAAAGAAAGTCGTTCCTGAAGCTGACACCACCATCCCTAAAAGTTACAGTTTGGGGAAAGGGAGTGGATGACTTTGTATTGTGATGAATTTGTATTGTGCCTTGTGGCCATTTAATACCTTACTGTAGACAGAGTGTGGGTGAGAACAGCCCAGCATAAACTGGGAGCCTGTGGGAAATGCATCCCAGGCCTCACACCATTGAATCCGAATCTGCATTTTAGCAGGATCCCCAGGTAATCTTCCAGGATGGGATAGTTTGAGAAGAGCTGCTTTAGCAGTAGGCCTGTGGCTCTCAGCAGTGGCTGCATATTAGAGTCATCTGGGAAGCTTTGAAAACCCACTGGTGCTGAGACCCCACCCTAGAACAATTCAGTTGGAACCTACGAGATGGGACTCAGGCATCAACATTTCTTTTTTCATTCCTCAAGTTATTTTAAGATGCAGTCAGAGTTGAGAACTACTCAGAAATAGGCTCTCATTTGATCCTTTGTACAGCTCTAAGACAAGAGTGTTATTCCAGGCACTTCATGAATGAGGAAACAGGTCCACAGAGGTGTGGTGACATGCCCAAGTGACACAACCATAAATAGTACCAATTCAGACAGATCCCGGATTTTCTTCCTCCAGACTCACTGAGACTGGCTCAATATCGACTTCTAAGAAATGTATTCCTGGAGGTTGGGGATGAAATGAAGAATGTGTTTAGACTCCAACACTGGGTGACTAGATCTTCATTCTTTTCCCCTCTCTTTTCCCATTTACAGGTCTCCCTTCAACCACAAAAGTCACCCTGGAACTCATCCCACAGTTAGAATTTTGTTTGGAACCCTCTTGCTTAGTTGAAGGAGTTGTTTTTTTGTTGTTGTTGTTTTTGTTTTTGTTTGTTTGTTTTCCCTGTGAACAGGTTTTCGGGGATATATAAACTCTAGGATGTTTAGTTTCTGATGTCAGGAGTCTTCATGTTCTCAAGGACAAGTGTCCTTGAGATGGACATTAATGGTCATTAGTCTGTCAGAGGAAGCCCATCACCTTAGCCTTTGAATGTAGAAACAGGCAGGCATTTATCTAATAAATGAATTGAAGACTAAATTACCTCTTTGAGGCCTTTGCAAACAGTGTTTAACCAGTTTACATAATTGTTTGAATACAACAAGCCTTCTATGTGATTATGGCTGATTTTTTTTCCTTAAAAAACTGATAGAATGTTCATTGTTTTATAGTTTTAAAAAGTTTACTTTGGCGGTCTCTACAAACCTACACATTTCACTTTCTCACCAATTCTTTTCTCCTAACTCTCTTCCTTTGTTGGAGCTCTGAAGGCCTAACTATATACACTTTACCTGCCTGACAGAATTCTCCAAAACATGCATAAAAGTAAAATATGGTCGTATTTTCAAATAATTTGGAAGAGTCGGTTCAATGCCATCAAGTGTGAAATCTATTTTGATATACTTTCTCCCCGTGTCTTCCCAGGGCTGCTTTTTGTGATGAAACATGTTTAGTTCTTAACTTGCAAGGTCATCTAAAACTTAAAGTTTCACAAAGTGTGGTTTCATATGACTTGGAATGATCTGAAAAACTATTCAGTGGTTACGAAAGAGCACAGCACATAAAAACCAAATTTGATTAGTTCAAGTCAGTGTTTATGTTTTGCTTTGGGGGTTTGTGTATATGTGTGTAGTTTTTATTTATATTGGAATTTGGTAAACTAAATGTTCAGACAAATAAAAGTACTTGAAATGGAAATTTCCTTACTCTCCAAAATATAAAAATCTGCATGGTCTGGCCGGGCACAGTGGCTCATGCTTGTAATTCCAGCATTTTGGGAGGCTGAGGCGGGCGGATCGCCTGGGGTCAGGAGATCAAGACCAGCCTGGCCAACATGCTGAAACCCCATCTCTACTAAAAATACAAAAATTAGCTGGGCATGATGGTGGGTGTCTGTAACCCTAGCTACTTGGGAGACTGAGGCAGGAGAATCGCTTGAACCCAGGAGGCAGAGGTTGCGGTGAGCTGAGATCGCACCATTGCACTCCAGCCTGGGCGACGAGCGAAACTCTGCCTAAAAAAAAAAAAAAAAATCTGCATGATCTTCCTCATTTCATTTCATCTTTAATTAGTGAGTTTTGCAACTCGAAATAGGAAAATGGTAATCTGTGTGTTTTTCTTTTGGTTAATGAGACAGCATTACATTTGCTGCCTATAGGTAATTCTTTCACATCCTATGTCCTTTCCCCTAAAAAGAAAGGACTTTCTTTAAAATTGACTGCAGGGTAAAGTTTTTTTTTTTTTTTTTTTTCTTACTCTCGTTCTTACTCTGTGACTAAGGCTGGAGTGCAGTGGTGCCATCTCAACTCACTGCAGCCTCAACCTCCCGGGCTCAGTGATCCTCCAACCTCAGCATCCCCACTCCTTTGAGTAGCTGGGACTGCAGGCACGTGCCACCATGCCCAGCTAATTTTTGTATTTTTTGTGGAGACAAGGTTTCGTCATGTTGCCAGGCTGGTTTCGAACTCCTGGGCTCAAGCGATCCTCCCAAAGTGCTCAGCCTCCCAAAGTGCTGGTATTACAGGCATGAGTTACCATGCCTGGACAAGACTCTTTAATTTAAAATCACTTTTACAGAAACAGCAAATGGGAGGCCCTGAGACAGGAGAGTGCCTGATGCAGTCAAGTTCCAGCAAGAGTCCACGGCAGCTAACTCACAGTGAGCAAGGGGAACAAGGATGAGAGATGCAGTCAAAGAGGCCATCATGAGGGCTCTTGTCGGTCAGCCATGGTAAGGATTTAGGGAGTTTCTTAAAGCGTGATGGGAAGCCACTGAAGCTGGGGAGTTTGTGGTGATGAGATTTAACACCTTTTAGGAAGGATCACTCTGGCTGTTATGTTGAATTAGACGGGGAAGGAAGCAGTGATGCATGCAGGGACAACAGGTGACGTTTGGCAGTGGTCCAAATGTCACATAACTGGCGTCAAGCAAGAGTACACAGAGACTGGGCTCCCTGAATCCTTATAGTCAGCAAAATCCTTGACAACTTTGCAAATGGATGTTTCATAAAATACACTAAATGCCAAATTCCCTACCCATGACCCATAATAAACAATAATAGACAATGCAGAAATTCAGCACTGGATTGCTAGCCTATACCCTGGTTGCTATGGTTACTGGGAGTCCCTGCATAGGGCATAAACACCAGTTGTTATACCTGAATGTAGGAGCGCTCTCTTGACTCTTGATGGATTTTCCCACATTGCTCTCCTTTTGTCTGTGTTACTTTTTTGAGATAAAAAATTGGATACAATTGGAGCTCTGTCTCTTCCCGGAGCACTTCCTGTGATGCGAGGCTCCTTTCATTCGCCACTGCCATTCTAAATACCAGTCAGGAAGCCTGCAGCTGGCAGTGCTCCACTGCTTTGGCAAGGGCTGGGCGTTCATCTTCTGGGTCAGATTGCTTTGTTATTTATAACTTCCCTGTAAATACAAAATATTTTACTAAAGTAGTTATTTTTGTATCTCTCAGATGCTGTAAGTACCTAGGCTTTCAGAAGAGCCCCACAATCAGAAGGGAGACCAGATGACAACCTCATATAGTCCCATTTGCATTATTATTTAAAACTGGGATTCCCGGCCACACGCAGTGTCTCACATTTGTAATCCCAACACTTTGAGAGGCCAAGGTGGGAGGACCACTTGAGCCCAGGAGTTGGAGATCAGTCTGAGCCCCGTCTCTACAAAAAATATAGAAATTACCCAGGTGTGCTGGTGTGCGCCTGTAGTGTCAGCTACCCAGGAGACTGAGGTGGATCACCTGAGACCAGGAGGTTAAGGTGCTGTGAGCCATGATTGCACCACTGCACTCCAGCATGGGTGACAGAGACAGACCCCATCTAAAAAAAAAAAAAAAAAAATAGGTCTCCACAAATGTTACCATGCATCGTCAGAAATGCTCTGTGTTCATGATTGCACATTGCTTTCACTTTGCCAGGTGCTGGGGGCAAAGAGATGATTAAGACACTGTCCCAGGCCTCAAGCCCCACAAAATGCTGGGGAAGTGCCATGCTATGCGGCCAGCAATCATTTTACCTTTTAAGAGCTTTGAGAGAGACACCCACTGGAAAGGGGTGCAGAGGACCCCAGAGGATCAAGTAACCCGGTGTGGGAGGGTCAGGGTAAGTTTCATAGAGCCCATGACCCTTAGGGCAAATCTTGAGAGGAAGATGGCCAGACAGAGGAAATGGGAAAGTCTGTTCAAGCATCATATTTGCTAGATTCTTGGCACTTTATGTACAGCATCTCCTTTAATCTTCACAACTACCCTGCTACACAGCATTTTAGAGGTGAAGAAACTAAAGCTGAGGGAGATTAAGTTACTTGCCCAACGGTACACAGAGACAAAGCCAGGACTAACTCATAACAAAGTAGGTAGGTTTTGTTTGTTTTGCATGTCAGATTGCTTCTAGAAATAACAGCGGGCTTCCTATTAATTCCAGGCAAGGTCCTGCTATTTTATAATTGTGGTTTGTTCTTTCAATGATGGGAGTATGTGGTGTATGGATCCCACCTTCCCCTAGTACTGTGCACTCCTCCCCATGATGGAGAGATTGGGAGGAACCACCTGGCTAGGATTGCTGGCTCTCCTGACACCTTCTCATGGCATCCATGTGGTTTATCCAGTTTTCTGAAAAGTAAGTAATTTTTAAAATACTGAAATTTGAAAGTATAAGAACATGTTGCTTTTTAAGGGATATTTACATGTTTATATATTTTTATGAATTTGAATACTATAAATATATAAATGCAGTTTCAAGTATCATTTCCTATAAAATATAGGGTCTTTCTTTTCTTTTCTTTTCTTTTTTCTTTTTTTTTTTTTTTTTTTGAGACAGAGTCTCACTCTGTCACCCAGGCTGGAGTTCAGTGGTGCGATCTTGGTTCACTGCAACCTCCGCCTTCCAGGTTCAAGTGATTCTCGTGCTTCAGCCTTCCAAGTAACTGGGATTACAGGCATGCACCACCGTACCTGGCTAATTTTTTGTATTTTTTTTTTTTAGTAGAGATGGGATTTCACCATATTGCCCAGGCTGGTCTTGAACTCCTGGCCTCATGTGATCCACCTGCTTCAGCCTCCCAAAGTGCTGGCATTACAGATGTTAGCCACCATGCCCCGCCAAATATAGGGCCTTTCTATTTTCATGTTCTGCCTGTATGATCTAGGGAAATAACAATCAATTATGAAAAAACAGTTATTTAGAATCCTTTGTTAAATTATTGTAAGTACACCCCTGGACACAGAGTCAAAAATAGAATTAAAATTAATTTGTCGGACATACTCCTGCTTTCTTTTAAAATGTAAATGAGATATAAATAGGGGTAGGTTCCAATTACTCATTAATCTTTTTCAAATGGTGGCAATTTTTTTAAAAAAATCTAAAACAACCATGGTGAAGTTACATATCCAATTAATAAGCAAGTTAAAACTTCACCCATTCAAAAACTTCTTTACTTTTTGTTTTTGGAATATACCATATTCACTTTTGAAATGCATGTCAACATAGATACAGGTAGCTCCCCAGCAGCTACTTTTACAACTTCAGAGTGATGTCGTAACTCACGAAATTCCCCTTTGTAGACTGAAACAAAAAAATTCAGAAATTTCCAAGGTGCCTGTGAGGCCCCGAGTCATCTGGCTGGATTCCACCTAATGCGCCTCTCTGTGAATGATTGAAGACAGAGCTGCAAAACCAGTTTCAGTTTTTGTTGTTATTTTTTTCTCTAACCACAGCACAGCCAGGCACTTGTCCAACAGTTTCCCACATAGCTCTTCCCCATGGCGTGTGACTTCATGTGCGTGTCAGTTGGAAAGAGCTAAAAGTCAAAGTTCACCCATGTCTAGCAGAAAAGGACTTGAAGATTTTACATGGACTGTGTGTTGGTATTTATGAGTCCACCAGGCCATCTCGTTTTGTCTTATCTTTTCAGACTGAAGATTTCTATTCCTTCAGTTTTGTTTTCTTTCAGCAGATGGGCTTTTGTCCCCCATCTTTGTGAAATCTCACAAATTGCTCAGCAGAAAGTTTCCAGATGACTTAGTGGATTTTTATGAACATTTAAAAATGAGGCTGAATGTGGTGGCTCAGGTCTTTAATCTCAGCACTTTGGGAGGCTGAGGCGGGTGGATCATCTGAGGTCAGGAGTTTGAGACCAGCCTGATCAACATGGTGAAACCCTGTCTCTACTAAAAATACAAAAATTAGCCAGCGTGGTGGTGTGCACCTGTAGTCCCAGCTACCTGGGAGGCTGAGGCACAAGAATTGCTTGAACCCGGGAAGCAGATGTTGCAGTGAGCTGAGATCATGCTACTGCGCTCCAGCCTGGGTGACAGAGGAAAACTCTGTCTCGAAAGAAAAGGGTATGGGGGGTTCTTTTTGGGGGTGCTAAAAATGTTCTAAAACTGATGGTGGTGATAGATGCACATGCTAAACATCACTGAATTGTACACTTTAAATGAGTGAATTGTATAGTATAAATAATATCAATAAAGCTGTTACCCAAAAAAATCAGATGAATGGAAGGAAGAAATTGGAGAGAGGTTCTCTATTGGATATTTATCTCGGTGAGTCATTCTGAACCTTAGTCCCAATTTACTCATGCTTGTAATGGTAGTCTTTCTCAAAGGGGGCTTTCCAGAGGCCCCAGCCACATCACTGACAGATAAAGAGTGAGTCTCCCAATGCCTTCGAAGTTG